TTTTTTAATCCCACGGTATCCAGCGTAGTTTGTTTTGATTATAGTTTTGTCCACACAATTACTAGTAATGTCCACGGTGTAATGGCAGCATAGAGTTGATTCCCTCCCCGCTGATCCTGGTTCTATATTTATCTGTAGTTCTATTTTTACTGGTTGAMTTGGAATCATCCGATGTTCACCCCCTACCGGACCATCCTACGGCTATCTGAATGGTTCATCTATAACGTTATTGTCCCTTTATAATGAAATCTTAGTCTGATGATTCTCAGAGTGGGTCTTCTTATAAGTCCTCGAAGCGATAGAAATTGCATTGATATTTTAGGATATTTTTCCATTAATTATTCWGATATAAATCGAGAATGTTTCACCATGCAATACATAGTCATTAGAAGCAACTTAAAAAGGGATAGCGATATATCTCGATATCAACATATACTGTACAGTGTTATAGCATTCAATATATCCAATCAGAACTCTTATAAAGGCATACATTCCAGTATTTTCGAATTGCGACATGTCGTTGTGTCATGAGAAGCGAAACATTGTTTAAAAAATACTTGACTCTCCTATAAAAAACGCAAACACAGAACAACAAAAAACATAAAAAAACACAAATTATATCCGATTAAGTTATATACGACATGCATTTCAATTTTTTGAGCCAATTTATTGTAGGCTAGGTTACCTGGGCAATTAATAATTACACCACAGAAAATTAGGGGAAAATGAGCCGATTGACCAAGTTGTATTACACGCTAAGAGCTCTTCTTCAAGGCATGTGATATTTTGCATGATAGAATTCAAGAGAGTTTGCACATCAAAAAAAGTGCAAGTATTGGAAGGTGATGATCTACCGCTACCTCTTGAGCACTTTTGAAACAGTTTCTGTCTGTAAAAGACAATCAATGTAACAAAACAAGCGGTCATGACCGTCATTTCAGGTCATTTACCTACAAACAAAACAWRAAGGACATTTTGAAATGACAATGTTTGGCGAACTTCCATATCTTAAAGCTTCCAACACAATACCTTCAATAAAATATAAAGGAAACGGGGCTACACGGGTAATAAATCAATCTCTTTCCAACAAAAGATTAAGCCTTGTTCATTAGCGTCCTTAATAGTCTAATAAGATGAAGCTGCTCAGCGAACCGAGGCTTTGCTAGTCCCTTAAGCTATGATATCTAATTTGGTTTGAACTCCAACCACATATTCTCAGCTCACTCGTCACTAACGAGGTTTAGACGACGGAAGCGGACTGCCTAGTCTGAAATTGATCCTAATTGCCCAAAAGACCTGCATTTTGGCTTGCTCTTTCAAGGCTCTTTTAAGTGTATTTTTGTGCATTTATAATCTTCCTCGCTGTGGGTACTCAACACAGTGTCAGGGTCATTTGGCTTTTATAGTTTTACGAACTCTTACAATTCAATCCGATATTGGCCCCTAGTAATTGATTAGGTAATTAACAGCTTAGGCTAAAAGACATACACTTAAACGCGTTCTTGGTTCACGCATGTTTTTAATGCTTGGTTATCGCTCCCGGCATGACGCTGGACAGAATTAACTTATTTATAGCTTGTACTCGGACGTACTTACAACATTAATTAGATTATTGTTAAATAAATATGGTCTTCAAACACGCCAGGACCTYGTAATTTCCCACTCAAGTTCAAAAGTTGTTTTCTTTGCATACTAAAACATTTTAAGCGATAATCTCTTGCAAGGCTTGTGACAGAGTGTCGAATGTTTTAAGTGTATAGGTCTCTGCCGAGTATTGAAATGCGAGTGACAGAACACTGTATTCAGTGGCACGTTCCTAACGCCCGAAACCCACTTCAACGATTCTTTAGTGCGAATGTTTTGGGTAATAAAGCTTTTGTAGTCGAAAAGTTTAACAAAACTATGCATTGTATCATCKTGTAATTGGACGACTGTTTCTTTATCAATTCATTAACAAAATAATAATACCTAAAATTAATTGAAATTATTATTAATTCTTATTCGGAATTCCAGACAAATGCAAAAAGCACCGGTTTAACAGATGCAAGGGTTTATGTTACCTCCAAGTCTGACATCAATCGATTTTTAAATGTGTTTAACCTCTTTATACACCTATAAAATTTAAAGAATCTATGATACTAAACCACAATTATTTCGCTAACTTGAATTAAAAGTGCATACTAGACTTTGCTAACGAACTCAAAACATTCTTTTATTCTCAAGAGAGTTTGCCTTTGGTTCTTGTTAGCAGATAAAGAATGCACCGAGCTTATAGTATTGTATCACGAACATTGCACAGCATGTGTTCCAACGAGCAATTAAAATCTAATTTTCCTAAACGAAGATACTTAGATAACACCAGCACGCGACTACTGCAAACACCGTAGCCTTTRCACAAGCGTTGAATATATATTTCAAGACCTGATTATGCTAATAAATCATCTGTCAAGACTTGATTGCAATTGGCTCGTTTCATTAGTTTGGCACTAGTAAACATCTTTTATCTATACAGATTTTCTACTCACCGCTTGTCTCTTCAACTTRGCGAGTTGCTTCCGCAGTCTTTTCAGCACTCGTTTTCTCTTCCTCACGTTTCGGATAAGCTTTTTCTTTTTTATCAAGCGTCTTATACTTTTGATTGTCCTTTTTGGCTTTGGTTTATTTTTGATATCTGGTTTAAATGGAATGGCTTGTTTGTTCGGAATTGCATTTGTTATCGTGTCTGAATTGTGAACGTTACGTGTCACTGCGTTTACGCTTTCCTTCGTCGACACGTGTTGCACATGCGGCCTTGAATTTGTTCTTTTTTTCTGCTAAACAAGACATTTATACAACCATGTCAATAAATCATTGCATTCACTAATAATTAAGCTCAGGGATGAGGCAATGCWGGGWTCTATCTTMGTTAAAAATTGAGCATAGTGCACGACTAATCCGCAAAGTTCCGAACGCAAACAAAAGCAGAATCTGCGCATTTCCATTAGCTCCAATCCTAATATACATAAGAAACAAGAACCTTTCTTCTATTGTAATTCTGTGCTGGAATGCGATTGCCAGAGGGAAAGCTATTCATAAGCAGTCAGGCATTTCCCACAAGAAGTGCAAGTCATATGAAATAAAATGACAAATCAATAATACTGTTGCATGGCATGCTGCTGTAACTCAACCGCCGAAAAAAAAACGCGTGTTGATTTTGCGGCACGCTTAACTGTTAAGCCTAAATCTCTAAAAAAGAAATCCTTGGTACAGGAGATCAAGAGAATAAGAGAACTTATCTAAAGATAACCCGGCTAGGCTAATTAAGAGTACATAGGATAATCGTACTATCGATTCCCATCTGATAAATGCACCAGTCCAATATTAGATCATGGTAAAATGAGCAGTCAACCCTAAACACTAAAAACGACATCAATTCTAACGGTCATATTAACTTWACTTACTTTTTTTGCATTTGAGGACGAGATTGTCAGAGCTACAAGTAGAATTTCAAGCATTAMAATCATCCATTTCAAATCCATAKCAAGTGCAGTGGTCCGATGTTCTTTCTCGTAGACCGCTCTTGCGTCTTGACCTAGGGCAAACCGACACCAATGAATAAAGTGAGTCACCGCGCACTGCCTTATAATAATCAATTATGGATATCACTTGTAGTCACGTGATAGTTTATAGCGCACGCTGGGTAAAGTTCGAGGTACGATTCAAGCTCTTGATCAAGAAGCCTCACACACCAAAGTGTCTAATGTAAACTTGTGGGCTGTGCTATTTACTGAGATGTTTCCGTTTTCTACTTTAAGTCGTAAATACACCTGGTAAGAAGCAATCTGTGTATACTTGAAACTTAGGTCGCTAACAGCCAAACCCGCCCTCTACTTTCGGCCCTTCTCTTCTTTTCTTTTGGGTTTTGAAAGTTACTTTTGCCGYCATACCATGACAAATCAATCGAAAGCCGATAGAAGCCGATATGTAATAGCGACAGTGTCTTAACACCAGACAGAAAAACAAGTTGTATTTTCACACAAAAAAATGTTCCCATGACAATCACGAAATATAGTAACACAAGGATCGCTCAAGTTATAAAAAATACTAATRCTTGAATTAAAGATGTTCTTGGCCGCGTCTCRTTTGTGATAATTGTCGGCGCGCAGAAATTCAGCCCACGTCTTCGCTTACCGCGAAAATTGATATTACGTCGCCATGGCTACTGTCTACACACAATGGCTGGCCTTTAGTTACAGAAGTCAAGTTTAAGTTTGTAAAACAAAAGGAATTAGAAAAGTAACCCACTGACTAATCAYCTTAATCAGAGCAAYTTGTAACGAAAGGTTGGCGATGGAAAGTTCTAGAACTGTGGTCCACTGTATCGTACGGTGAACACTCACTCGACCATGGAATGCTTTCGAAATAAAACCAAAGTAGGTTTCTTTGCTTTCTGTGGGAAGTTTWTCTTCCGACCACAAAAGCTGCCAACATTAAAAGGGGGRTAAAATGAACGCCAKGAGGCTTCCGCGAGTTGCATAACATTATCGGAAATCCGAAACATGACAAAAGATAGCTGAACTTCCTGCTTTAACAGTAAGGTTTTCCATCGAAATATTGTGATCTAAGAATCTTTTCATTRCTCCAACTCTCTGTAAAACKTTTGTACCGTGAGTATGTATGCAGTACACAACAACYGCACTGCTGTAAGGGTGGTCTTATTAGTGAAGACAAAACTTTTCTACTKCYGAAGCAAGTACTGCAACTCAAATTTCATTACTCAATGTATTTTGCATTATCTTTAAAAGGAATGCCATGATAAAAAGGATTAATTAGTCTAATTATCAATCATGGTAATTGTGTGTTGTTAATACAAATTATAAGTATCATTAGAGGTTATTTTCCATACTTGGTTCGAATCAAGTAACCATACTTGGAAAAAATACAATTTTGTACATAAACTTACGTTACCTTTGCAAAATAAACAGCGAAAAATAKATTGATTGTACCCAATGTTGACGATTGTACAAATATTATATAATATGACGTACTTTTAAGCCGATTACGCACGTTGTAAATGTTTCTAACTAACTTTCACATGATTGTAAAATCTTTCTTTGCTGCACAAAAAATAGTCCAATATTATATCAATTTTGATGTGTTAAAGTCATCAACATTTCGATATTTGTCACACTAGATGATTATCTAAAAGTGTACTATTGTATAAATTCAAGACGTTTTCAAAAAACTCCTTGTGCAATTTTCTTGCGCTTTGAGCACTCCATGGTCTCCATATATCAGTTGCTATATAATTAAGGGTTTTAAAGACCTCTTGGTTATTACATGTAGGTGGACAACACAGCCCACGCAGTAATAATCGGTAGAAACTAATAAAAGTTTGTCAACACAATGTGTTTATTCGCCCACGTGCTAAGGGTGATGTATTGCGGTCGGCCAGAGTACTTGACGCGTGGATGCGACATGGTCTTAAATGTCTTTCAATATCCTGGATGATAAATTGTTGACTTTGGATTACGTCCATGACGAGTTGGGAAATTAAAGTTGTTTCTTTTAACTCGATTTACTGCGAAATATTTCATGGATTTTTGGCATGTACACGACTGATGTTGTTCAATAATCATGTTTAACAAATTTACGTGGTTTTACTAAATTCGAAAGTAAACTACGCATTYAAGATTGACATATAAATGGAACTTTTGATCTCAGGGAAATTCTTGTCTCTTTTTCTTGGTTATAAATTGTTTCTTTTTTTGAATCGGTGTTGTTTTCTTGATATTTACTTTTCATTGTTGTTGTTTTTGCAGTGTTAGAGACGCTGTAGTTAGTATCGAATGTTGGTATTGTGTTTTGTTGTTTGTTGTTATTAAGTCGGTAATATGTTATATGTTGTGGTGGATCGGTTTTTTTGTTTCTTGGTATGCATATTGATGTGCTTTATCTTGGGGATATATTTCTTTTTATTTATTAGTGTTGCTAATGGTATTATATTTATTTAGGGTTATAATTGCCTGCTTTTGAATTCTACTGTTGTCCTTTGTGATTATGTATGTGTATGTGCATGTATTGTTATAGTTGTTCTTTGGTTATTAAATTTGTAGCTGTATATTGTTGAGTGCATGTGTTTTGCTTTTTCAGTTTTGAATTTTTCGTGATCAAGATTAATTACTGTGAATTTCAAATAGTCATCTTTCGATTATTACGTTAAGCTTCTGTCTATTTTTTACTTTTTTTGTACTTAAAAGAATTAAACGTTATTAGTTTTTCATCAATTTTTCCATCGTTTTCTAGGCAAGTACGTCAGCATTTCAGCAAGCCAAAGTCACGTGGCTACAGTATGATTCCTCGTGCCAAAGTTTTGTTGAATGCGAATCAAGGCGAGCTTATTCTTTTTCTAAAAAAAGTTARATTATTTGTCAGAAAACTAGCCTGTGCACTCATCATTATCTTGGTTTGTCATTGCTGTTATTGACGATTGGTCATTTTTTWAAAAAACTTAACTTGACTTCGCCAGTGAAAACTGAATGTTATTCTATATATAGATGTCCTGTTGTCCTATAAATGTTCTTTTGTTTGCTTATAAAAGGATAACTTRATATCATAAGCTTAATTTTGATTACATAATTCGAGCTGAAATTCTTATTTTTACGTTCATAGACTCGGTTTTACGAATACTCAAGCGTACKTCGAAACATTGGTGGAAACATTCAATGAGAWRKGGATTTTTAGTACATTCAAATATCTTAACAYCAAGTGTTTCTAGGGTAGATAATTCTAACGCCATGCTGGGGTTATTGTAGCCGGATTGCCGGGTATCTKTATCGAGTTGTCTTCTGCTCKTTTTGTCGTGTAAGCTCACAAAGAGAACTGGGCGAGTGCCAAAAAGTCGTTCAAAGTRACTCAGCTGTCTTTTYGCTAAGAACAAATARTGAAGCTCACAAGGGATTTCGGATTAAGAACTTGGTAAACAATACAAGCAAACACTATATTATTAAAAGCATGGCCATTTATGGTGCACAATAACCAAGCTTTGTCAAAATTATACAGGAACAAAAATACAGATTAGATTCACAATTAGGTGACAAATGGATAATAAGCCGGTGAAATCTGGGCTGGATTTCCAGCCCCCTCTTCTCTAAGCTGCCTATAAGCTAGGAGGGRACGCTATTACAATAGATCAGTAATACTGTTCTTTGATTATGCATGGAAAATAAATGAAGTAATTTTGAAGTATTTTCTACGCTTTGAGGGTTTTGTCATAATTGCTAGTCTTAGTTTTAATCTTTCGTAATTTGTTCAGTAGCGTAAATCGTTGTACACATTCTAGCTTTCGCTYTAAAACTATTTGATATATTGTAAGAATATCTATAGTGAGACTTCRTAGTTCGTAGTACTGATTTATTAARCGAGATGACAAATATACTATAATGTATTTCCCGTATTTGGATATTAGTAATATAAAGGCAAGGCACGAGAATGTACTCGAATACCTTAAGTGCAAAGTAATCGACATCGGCCATCATATGCTCAACATAGGTAAGGATCTATAGAACAAGGCTYGAATRTACATATATCATTAATCACTTCTAACGACMGGTCYACCCTTAGGCGAAAACATGCTCATTGACCGAGTCCTGCTTAAAATACATTTTAGTTTAGTTTCACTATATTCAGAAAGTATTGGGATGGAGTAATTATAAGGACAGGCATGTTTAACGGACTAGCTTTGTAAAACTATTAAAGAGCGAGGAATTGGATGCCGCATTAATTCACAAATCAACATGACCGACAGATRTATTTTATATAAACAATTAGTGAAAGCACTTTTGCTGTTGAGCTTAATCTACTAATTCTATAATTCAACAGTAATGAAGGTATTCGTAATCTATAAATACAATTGTCATCAAAAATACAGTCATTTTCAAATATTCTGACCACAACACAAATTATTATTGTATCGGGTGCATTATGGGTGATGTTAATCGATTTTTTGACTTTTTCTCGCTAAAAATAAGATTGCAAATTATTCAAACTCTTTTTAATTATTATTATATTACTCTTTTTAAGTGCTATTCAAATATATCGTGCAGTTTGACGACAAATTTTAAAAAGGGTTGAATTTGATATATCAATTACCCAATATATCGATATACTTGTATTTGATATAGCTTTTTGCATTGACTCAACCCTCCCCCCCCCGGCCCCTCCCCCCGTATATAGACCGAATTAGACGGCACAACTTTTCCTTACAACCATCGCATGCGACCTACGTAAGTCATCCTTACAACATAGTTACAGCTGTCGTGGCGATTTAAAACAATTGCTTAACCTCGAGACACTTGTAGCCATGTTGTAAGGATAACTTACGCAAATCGTATGCGATGATTGTAAGCAAAAATTGTGCACGGTGTCTAACTAAGCCTTATCAAAACAGGCTTAGAAATTATGGGATATCATCGCTAATCCTTTCTTTCGTATACTGGATAACTCAAAATGCAGTCGTAAAAACYCTCTRTAATCGCCACATGTGGAGTTAGTCGTTTGACACAGCAGGTGCGTAGCTTTTTAGATTTATCAAGAATCTATATATAGCGAGTGCTGCCAAACATTTGCCTGGACYTCATAGATGCCCTTTGTATACTTTCGGTTTTGTAACTTTGTCGCGCGAATTACACCTAAAGAACTGGATTACATATACGGAACAAGGTGAACTCCAATCAAGGAGGGTTTTACTCTTATTCAAGAAGTTAATTCTAAGCGTTACAATATCCAATTACTATGTCTTACCTAYTGAACAAAACCACTTGAAATTAAGCGTCAATAATACCAATAGATAAAGATGTCCCAATATAAACGGAATTAGTATATCAGAAGTATCGGTTCAGTTTTAAACGTTTACAAGGGCAGCTTGTGTGCACATCATTTAGTAYCTTAACTTGTGGTATGTACGCATTGGCACCCTATCGATCTTATAGCCATTGTCCTAGAYATTTTATCATCATGACAATGCAATTTGTGTATTTAACGTTGGATCAATATCAATACAACACCGCTACTAATCGCTTTTATTGAGTTAGATTTGAAAGGGTTTGTGATCCTTGGAAGTGTGAAAGACCCGGAGGCTGGCTAGATACTATAGCAGCGCCCTGACTCCCACTTCAAGTCTCCAAGCATTGTCCTTTAGGCAACGTAGTTACAGTCGTTTTTGACGCACAGTTTGTAAAAACTGTAAAAAAAAGTCGTTGAGTTGAAGCACTACGTCATGCGCTAGTTTTAGCAGCCCTCAGCAACACAAGCTAGATACCATGTTACAATAGATCAAGTTTAGTTCTCCATGGAGAACTAAAAGTGAATTTATTCGCACCCTAAATCTAGTATATTCCTTAATAAATCGCCAATTAACTACTTTTCGTAGTATCTATCGTTTGAAATTAACGATTCTTTCAGAATAGGAATTCAACTGGAATTATTTGACATCGATTCACACTTGCGAAACTTTGTCTACTCAAACAAAATGGCAGTCAATTAAACCGTCGCCTCAACTATTCATGGATATCGTGTGACAAATATCATTGATTCTGGCCAATATATAACAATATTATAATAMGAAAACGGACCGGAACTTGAAATTAACTTATGTGATGAAAAAACTAGCCCTGTGGGTATATCACGCAAAACATTCTAATAAACATGCTTTGAATATCTTTCAGAAGAATGACAAACATCCCGTCAAAATTAGCAAACGAATTTGCTTTTCATCAAGTTTGGATTAAGCTACGCATACTGTCACACGAATACGCCCCTTAAATACCTTTGAAATATTGTCCATTCTTGTTGTACGAATACAACATTTTTATTCCTTCTTCTTCTTAACCATTACTCATGAGGAGGTCTGGGTACGAGGTTGGTTTGGATACTAGCAATCTCGTACCCAGAGCCCACACTTTTGCGATCCAGCGGATGTCAATGCGTGAGAGACTCTGGAGGAAACAATTTTTTCTCGATTCGTGATTGGCTGAAAATGACGCGAGCGCGCATTGTTTTCAAATTGGTCTTTCAAGTCGCCAGCGCGCGCTCGCCTGTTTGATCAAAAATATCATACTTTTATCGCATAACCACATGTTTTCACACATTTGTGTTTTTTAAAAGGTGTCAATACTGTTCCTAAACTAAGTCGTGTGCTAAACCTTCTTCTTTTTTATCATTTTGATGAGTCTTTCCGGCATCAGCATACCGCTGATATTAGCCGTGAAGACTCTGGGCTCGAGATTGGGATACTAGAAAAACGGTAAAAGACTAGGTACTAGACTGAACTGCACAATCGGTGATTCCTTCGCTTTAAAAATCGAGTATATTTACAATGTTCGAACAATGTGCAAGGTTACTTCGTTTCGTATAACTAAAACGTACGTGCATCTACGTGCATAAGTTTGTCTGACTTCCTTGAAGATCTGTCGAATGAAGCTTTTATACAAGAGTAAGTTTAAAATAGCCCACTGGATCTTTAGAAATGATACCATTACGTTTGCCAGACACTAACGACTTGATTTACCGTGAAAAGTACTAYTTGGACAAAAAAGTAGCACGCCCCTTGCGTGAAAAACCCAAAGATCAGTTATGGCGGAACTGTTCAGTCAGAAAATAACCAGACGGCTTAAATTACCCCTGTGTTGCATTTGATAAAAGAAATTGATAAACATTTATGCAATGCAACAAAAGTGGTTTTATGTCTTTTATAATATGATGCAATGTTTCAGCATRCATTTTTGTGATATGAGTATATTTTAAATCCAGTTGGTTTTTGAAGGCATATATAGACCTATATAGCTTCTCAAGATATTCTCGGAGATCGAAGTTCAATATCTTGTCAATGAGCGCAAAGGTACGATACAGAACCATTACGCAGAGATGTTTTTTTCAAATTAGAAGTGTTTATTCAAAGTTTATCGTCATCAAGCATTCGTTTGCTCAATAGATCAGCCCACGTGGCTCACAACGCACTTATCTGAGCCCAGACACTGCACGTTTTGGGGACCTCGCCATAAAAATCTCAACCAAATAATACGATAATGTTCGATGTAAAGTTCGTCATTGCCAAAAGGTTTTAATTTTGCGGTAAATGTTATTGACCACATGGCTATAGTCCGCCTAATGCAATATAGAGTCGGCACTTTGATGCTGGTGCATCGGCATTGATTAGGTCTGATTATTAGATCAGCGCAGATGTTGGACAAACACTTTTGCTCTTCTCAAGCAACAAAGTAGCGGATATGAASCGTTTCCGAGTATACCTACAGAGAATGAATTGGTCTTAATCATCGACAGATGCTTAGATTGTTTATATACTACATGYACTATAGTAAGTTGYGGCTCTTTCGTKCTTGGCTGGTTAATRGCAARTGCAGCCATGACGTGCGCAAACCTAGGAGCATCTGCCGTTACTCTAAACAGTTTCCGATTTTGTCACGAACAATGAAGGAGTCATGCAAATTCAAAATTAACGAAACCTGTGGCTTTWCTCATTTCTTGCAGCACTACAGAGTACCACTTAGCTTCGAACYGAGCAATTAATCCAATACTTCATCCCCCTAGAAGCCTAATATTCATTTTCTATGGCAACAGGACGATACGTCAAAAAATAATGACTGCTCCTTGTGTTTTGTAAACTTTTCCAAAAACACTGATCAACATGCTCTGTTGCACGTTTTTAGATAGTACAAAGTTCTCTGTGTCATTCCAAACTAGACATAACTATACTTGTGTAAAAATTCTTCCAATATAAAGGAGTCCGACGTCTTAAGAATATCTCATTGATCATTGATCAATGAGATTTTCTCAATACCTCGGAGTCATTTATTGATGGAAATTCTCCATCACGTATTATTGCGAGGCGAGATCGAACCTACTGACGCAAGAACGCAACAATTTCAAAAATCTCCTGATTGTTTGAAGAAGACGCGGAACCAAAATAATTATGTATTGTCTAGTTCCACTGTGTATAGAATCAAGCTGGAGTGGAATACTGCATTAACAATAACAAATACCAAGCTGGCTTTACGAAATCTTCCTCACGACTGCAATGGTGTGTGCTAATTAGCATAATTAGGTTAGAAGCCTGGGTTAACGTAGTTTTCTCAACTGTTCATAAACAAAGTTATATTGTTCGAGAAACATTTTACTTTAAAAAAGACAGATTCCTTTGTAAAGTGGAGGATTCTTTAATGAAAGATCGACGCCACACTTAGTTAGTATTGTCCTTAAAACTAGTAGTCGAAGCTAACAGTTTCACTATGAAAGTTAAGAGTGCAACAATTCTAAAAATGATTGTAGTCATCTATAAGGGAAGACTCATTGTCTTCACACATATATGTTGTTCGCATCAATGGCAGTATTCACAATCTTACATTATTGGGTCCACATGAAAGCAAGTCTACTAACCTTCTGCAGGGAGTTCAATCAATGTTCCAATTTCTCTAGCTCTCTCTTTCCAGTGCACAAACTTCTTTAGTTCTTAAAATCTGTCGTGGCTTCAAAGCTGTTGAGGTCTATGTTAAATTCCCCACCGTCCTCAAAGTATGGTATAACGTCAGTCAATACACTTGTAATAACTAGCCGGGTGACTTGTTCGATAACCCAGCCAGCTGAAATTGCAAAGCTGCTTTTGTCATCGATTATTTCCGGTAGATCAGTTTATTCACGAATGCTGAACCTCAGGTACTTGATATCCCAGTAATCGACCCCGGCTCGCGCCATTTGAACTTTCAACCAATAAGAGGCTGTTATGAAAATGACGTCTATCACTAGCTGAAACAATTTATAGCGCTGTGCGCGATGCAATCTTGTGTTTATTTCTACCGAAGTCAAAACAATCCTAAATATGTTGAAAAAAGCCATGAGATTTTTTTCTTTTTGCTCTCGGGAATCGTTTTACTGAAGTCTCAAGTAACATTTTGGTA